GGGCGGGGGAAGGGGTGGGGCTTATAGTATAGGACTTAAAAGTACTCAAATGATGGGGCCGAATAAAATGTTATTTTAAAGTAATGTGGTATTGTACCACAAAGTAGATCTAAATAAGCTTTATGCTGTATTTGAACTAGTTGGGGCATGTTATTGGGAGGAGGTGGGGGGGGTTGGTTATGTTAAATGTTTGATGTTGAAATTGTTGCATGTTGAATTCAAACTTTTTAACAAGTCCTTGATGTTTCAATTTGAAAGTGACCAATGGGGCTGAGGCTGTGTCCACTGAGGCTAAGATGACTGCCTTTCCTGATTGGCCTTGGCTTTTCCATACATTGTGTGACCCTTGCCCTATGACCCTTTGGCTGACCTTACCGGAAGCCATGACGACAGCAGCCTTTTGCCATTAGACGCAGGGTGATGGTGAGGATTCCAAGGGTTAGACAAAACTGGTTAATCTGAACTAGGTGACTGTTACCTTGCGTGTTTTGTGGCCAAACCACCACCAAAAACCTCACACTGTGATGTAAGTACTTAGTGTAACTAGTAAACATTTTTGTAAAATGTAGAAATGCATGTAATCAGTTAAGTTTTATATTTTACAATGTTCTGTAAAATAAAACTTAGCGAGGTAAATTGAATAAAGGAGCAGTCACTCTCTAACAGATTGTAGGAGAGGTTTAGTTGGATTTAGTCTATTTGACTTGCCCTTAATTTAATTTATGGCAAATCACAAATGTATCGAAGGTTTAGCATTATAATAGCAAAGTCCTACTCCAGTAAATAAAAGTTGATATGTTTGTACTAACTTTCAAAATCATGCATTTTAATCATTGCAGTGCAGCTAATTGTTCCCTTCATGTGATAAAGGTGGTGGAGGTGGATACAGCAGTCGGAGAACCTCTGGGAGAGACAAATATGGACCACCTGTTCGTACAGAATACAGGCTTATTGTAGAAAATCTTTCTAGTCGTTGCAGTTGGCAAGATTTAAAGGTATGTGCTATTATGATGTAAGGTTAAAGTACTTTAAAGATATGCTAGTTTTACATTGGTTTCTGAGAACTGAAGTGTATAGTATGCATATCTTGAAATTTCTGAGTCTGACCAGATTTTTTGTTTCAGGACTTTATGCGACAAGCAGGTGAAGTAACCTATGCGGATGCTCACAAGGAACGTACAAATGAGGGTGTAATTGAGTTTCGCTCCTACTCTGACATGAAGCGTGCTTTGGACAAATTGGATGGTACAGAAATAAATGGCAGAAATATTAGGCTTATTGAAGATAAGCCACGCACAAGCCATAGGCGATCTTATTCTGGAAGCAGATCTAGGTAATTTGTTGAAGGACACTGGGAGGAAAACAATATTTGTCAACAAAAAAGAGTAATTTAAGTTTGGCTTATCTTTTTTTGTTAAATGGTACAAACATTCAGTTTGAGATTTGTTAAGATTAAGGTTTTGCTGTGCTGTCGTTAACAGGTCTCGATCTAGAAGAAGGTCACGAAGTAGGAGTCGCAGGAGCAGCCGCAGTAGATCTCGAAGTATCTCAAAAAGTCGCTCCCGGTAAATAATGTGTTGTGTCTTTTATTGTGTGATGGTTACCGTACTTGTTTATGGAGGACATGTGTGTTTTGATAATGTATTTAGAAAAATCTGGCTTTTCTTGTCCAGATCCAGGTCACGGAGCAAAGGTCGATCACGTTCTCGATCAAAAGGCAGGAAATCGAGATCGAAGAGTAAATCTAAGCCCAAGTCTGATCGGGGCTCCCGTTCACGTTCTCGAAGCAGATCTAAGGATGAGTATGAGAAATCTCGAAGCAGGTCTCGGTCTCGGTCTCGATCCCCCAAAGAAAATGGAAAAGGTGATATAAAATCAAAATCCAGATCAAGGAGCAAGTCTCGTTCCAATTCACCCCTACCTGTTCCACCCTCAAAGGCTCGTTCTGTGTCCCCCCAACCAAAAAGAGCTTCAAGATCCCGTTCTAGATCTCACTCAAAGTCAAGATCAAGGTCTAGATCGAGTTCCAGAGATTAACCCAGAACTCTTTGTTCTTTGCACACTATTATGGAACACTTTCCTACTTGTTTAGGCAGTTACTCTTCCATGTTTATACTTGGCCTCTTCTGCAAGAGGAATCTCCTGAAAACAGGGGCACACAGAAATTTGATTTGTGGCCAAATTTGATGAAAAAGATGAGGTTCTAAGGAAAAGGTGGCATGAAGTCAAAGACCCTCTCCCTTCTTTGTAGAATTAAGATAACTTTGATTTTATAGCTTTTGAGCTAAAATAACTTTTGTAAAGATTAAGCTCATTTAGATTTTTTTAAAAGTATTTCAGCAGGATCTGCTGCAGGGGTTTTTGTTTTATTTGTTTGCTTATTTTTAAATTAACCGTTTCAAGCTTTGAATACCTAAGGCTTTACAGGGAGAATCCAATTTTCAATTATGTTGGCTTTTTATAAAGCTTGAGTTATGTAAGATTTAAATAAAAGTTTGCTACCAAGATGACTGCCTTATTGAATAGGTCACTATTCCTTTAAATGTTGATATCTGCCATTTGTTGAAACAATGTAAATTCGACTTAAGTGTAAAACAAGGCAAGCCTCAGACCAGCAATAAATTATTCCGTTTGGATGATAATATCTTGTGCTGTCAATCAAATTTGCCAGTCTTTATCTGCCCCTTTAACAAGTTGAGTTAAAAATTAACAGTATTTTGTAGCCAATCTGTTCCACAATTTTGACTAAATTAATAGGTTTTAAATAGATTGAAACTTTTGAAACATAAATTTAAACTTTTCAAGAAACACCTAACACTTTGGAATCTTGTTTAGTTAGTAATCACATATTCTGAAAGTGGTCAATAAAATTTAGAGTATGCTTTAGCATTCATGGGAAAATGGAAGTAGCCTTTGATTAAAAATGTAGTGTATTTGAAGAGAAAAAGCACATACGTCATTTTCTGCTGAAAGATGGTTATATTTAATAGGCACTTAACAGATCCTTGGAAAGGTCAGTTGCCGATTAAAGTAAAATTCCACTCAGCAATCACTTCCTTTGTAGTTAGTGGGATTACGTGATAATTGATTAGGTCTTCCTTGTAATTTTATACCTTGTATAGTTGGTTTGAAAATTAAATGGGTAAATTGAAAGCATTTTGTACTTTATTATAAGTAAAGTGTAGTGAATACTGTGGAAACCAAATTTAAATACTGTAAGTTTATAGGAGTTACTAGGTTATCAATTAGTATGTACGTCCATAAGCCTCATTGGTTGAAATTGCAGTCAGGAAGTGAGTTAGCCTTATCCCTTTGTTCAGATACTTTTAGATGAAGTAATTTTATTTGAAAATAATCCTATTCTGAAATAAGGATGTAGGTTAATTGGCTCAACTTTAATACCTTCCTAGGAACTCACCATGTAAGATACCAAGGAGTGGATTGTGGTAGCACATAGTGGTACACTGCTGATACTGCCACAAATCTGACTAGAAAGCCTGATAATCTAGGGTTGATTTATAGTTTCACATAATCCAGAAACATCTAATAAAAATGAGTGGAAAAATCAAGTCAGATATTTAGGTGTCAGTCACAGAATACTTGGTAATGTTTCACTTTAAAAAATTTCTAGACTTCCTGTTAAGAAAATCTTAAAAGCCTAACCATAGGATTATAGTGCCCTAAAGGTTGACATTTCTTCCATTTTCTTATGTTCTTTGATACTTTTATTTTGATATTCACAAGAAATAAGTTTATTTTCCAATATAAAAAAATTTAAGGGAAGAAAATGGTGTCTAATTATAATTCATGATTTTGCCTATTCAAAGAACAAAGTGATATGGGTTTTTTGTTGGAGGCTAGAGTGCAGTGGCATGATCACAGCTCACCTCAGCCTGAACGTCCTGTCCTGGGATGATCTTTTCACCTCAGCCTCTGAAATAACTGGGATTACAGTCATGGGTCACCATGCCAGACTTTTTTTTTTTTTTTTTTTTTTTTAGATAGGGTCTTGCTGTGTTGGCCCAGGCTGGTATTGAACTCCTGGGCTCAAGCAGTCCTCCCTCATCAGCCTCCCAAAGTGCTGGGATTACAGGCATGAGCCACCACACCTGACCAACTACTCTTAAGATTGACTAAAGTTCTCTTACTTTCAGGGAAAGAACATAAGAGCTTTTTGAACCACAGCCTTTTAAAAGGAGGGAGCATATATTGCAATGTGATGTTTGACTTTCTAAGAATATACAGTGTCCTTCATTTGGGTTCTCGTTAGTGTGGCATCACATGGTAGTAGACAGGTTTGACTACATTGCTAGCTGCCCCAGTAAATGGTTAATTGTATAGGTAAATGCTGACATCCATACTTTTCAAGTAATAGCAACGACCAATTTATTAAAAACTTAGTCCTGTTCCGTGCTTGTAGTCCCAAGTCACTGGATGCACTAAACCATTGTAACGTTGACCCACTTAACAGTTGACTGATAAAATGCTTAGTTCCTTGTGAACAGAATCTGAGTTGACAACATACCACACATTTGTCAGTGGCTAGGTGGAGTACTAAGCTGATACCATGCAAAAAAAAAGTGAGGACTGTCATTTCCGTTCCTTTAATTGCTAGTGCTCACTGACATACCACAGTGCCCTTATGGCCATTTTGAGTCCTGCCTACTTCGGCTTTCACATTCCCACTCCTGTGTTACCACCTTTCATCTTGGTATCTTCTTCCAGTTTGTTAATCTACTTTATACTTTATCTCAATAAAATAACTTACTGAGGGAAAGGCTTCCTTTGAATTTGTTGTGTATTCCCACTTAGCACCACATTCTTGGCAAGTGGTTTTTTGAATTGGAGTTGCCATTGGCAAACCATTTCTGTCTTGAGTATGAAAACAGGATCTTGTTTTCAGTTTCTCAGAAACGTGAGTTTGGGATTAACGTAATATATGGTTTATTTTGGGCAATTTATTAACCCCTGTGCTTCAATGTCATACATGAAACAGGAAAAAACCTCACGTATAGGATGTGAAGAAAGTTAACCCTTTGCACTCGGACACCTTGCAGATCACCTGTCAGCAACTTGACAGTACTTTTTCATGAAATAGTGAAAAATGAATCACTTCATATTACGTAGTATAGCATTGGAGTCAGTTATTATGATGATTTTCTTATAATTTTGGACGTTGAGGAACTCATGACCAAAAAAATCAAAATTTTATATTTTTCTGATACGTGGTAACATGGAACAGTCAATGATATGCATTGCAGGTTCGTTGATATATGTTATACAATAGTAATTTGATGTCTTCCTCTGGTGTTTTTCTATTCAAACAATGCGGTCTTATTTTCTTCCTTGCTAAATATATAATTTATTGTCCAGTCTGAGGAAGATGTGGAAAGATGAACTCATGATTCCTGAAAACCACTTCTCAACTGGTTGATCATACCTCAGTATATATTCCATCCCTTTGCTTTTTTGGACAATCTGAATGGAAAACTTCAAGGAAACATAACCTTTTTGAAAAATTCTTGCTAGCATAGGTTTGTCCTGTATAATCACCAAGAGGGGACATCTGAGTGGTTTGCTAGATTTATGATATTCCAGAGGGGACATCGAGTGCAAAGGGTTAATACATGAAAAGTACTTATAGGAGAGTACCATAATTAACACTAGTTGCTAATATGAAGAATTAAATATAGTAAATCCTTTTTATTAATCTGCTTTATATTCACATGGAATTTACCCATTTATATCTTGTAGTGGTTCAAACATTTACCAGCAGCATTGTTTTCCACATAAACTAGGAAACTTTAGTCATCTTTACCTAAGTCCTTAATGTAATTTTCTTAATTTGGACTTGAGGCATTTTTAGCTTTGGCAGTTTATGCTTAGGAACCATCACATTTATTTACCTAGCTTTCAGGGAGCAGCGTTTTCCAACTATGGCTGCATCGAATTTCAGCCCTGTGATGGTGGACCCTAGAGTGGAAAGTTTCTTTTTTTTTAAAGTTCTGATTTAATTTTATTTACAAAAATATGTGCTTGACATATCCCTCAGAGTCCACTTACTAAGGCAGCCACTGTTTCTTTTTTGTTGTTTATCTTTTTCAGCAAGTGAATGACATCAGGAAATAAGGCAGCCACTGTTAACGGTATCTGCATCTGCTCAGACTTCTGTGGTCACATGCAAATGTCCTTTATTTTCAACAATGATATGTTCATACCATGAATAGTATTCTGCAACTTGTTTTTACTAAGAGAGATATGCTTAAAATGGATGACTAGTATGCTGTTAAATTGCATAAGTGCATTTTTTTCAAAACCAGTTCTATTAATCTTTTGGTTAAAAAAATCTTGGTTTATATATCAACAAGAATTGAAAAATTACTTTCAGCGTTCAGTATTATACAAGGAAACTTTTCAAGTACTTAAAATTTAGAACCTAGTGTAGTGTAATTATCAATCTAAACACTAATCTGAGTTCATTTCTTTCAGTGACCACATCTTGAATAAGATGTGTGTTTGTATCCTAACATGTATGCATCCACTTACTAAAAGAGTGAGTTAGTGGAATTGTGTGTAATTGGTTTTCTAGATCCTAAATAGCTTGTTTAGTATGCATGGCTATCTTCCAGCAATCTCACAGATGGTCCCAGTACAGCACTCAATAATAGTGATAAAACTTTTTTCACTTCTCGTGAATAGACAGGAATCATGGTTCAAAAATCAGATGATAGTAAAATTCATCTTTGATTTACCTGTATAGGAAGCCAAGATTACTGATTTTTTTTTATGCATCCTTCTGGAGATTAATGCAAATCTAGAAAAATTAACATAGCTCCTTTGAATTGTACAAAGGAAAAGTGATACAGAAGCTTACATTAGGAAGCCCTATTTGTAGTTTATGTTCACAGCTTATATCCATATATTTTTTTCTTTTTTTTGTCTGTATATTTACACCTGTTTTAGAGATTAAGAGTCAGTATGGTGTAACCTGAAGCTTTCCAAGCAGAGGCAGGATTTAAATCCTGGTTCAATTCCCAACAGCCTGAAAATTCCCAACAGCCTGAAAGCATTAAAATTCAATGCCTGCTTCAGATAATTTCTCTTACTAAGAAGCTCTCTAAAATTAAAGAAGGACTAGGTGTGGTGGCGCATACCTAAATCCCAGCACTTTGAGACGCTGAGGCAGGAGGATTGCTTAAGGCTAGGAGTTCAAGACCAGCCTGGCCAACATAGCGAAACTCTCTACAAATAATTTTAAAATTAGCTAGGCGTAGTGGTACACTCCTGTATCTTAGCTACTCAGCAGGCTGAGGCAGGAGAATTGCTTGAGTCCAGAGGTTGGAAGCAGCAGTGAGCTCTGATTGTTCCACTACTCCAGCCTAAGCAATAGAGCGAGAACCCATCTCTTAAAAGCTCAAAACGTAGAATTTTCTTTGTAATTGTTTTAATAGGATTTTATACTTAGAGAAAAGTTGCATCAGCAAACCAGTACAAAGAACTAGAATTGTTAATCACCAGTTATATCTTGTTTCATTTTTTAATCTATATGTTTTTTCAGAACTATCTGAAAGTAAATTGCAGAATTGTGCTCTTTTAACCCTGAAAATGTGTATTTTCTAGGAGCCAGGGATGTTATCTTATATATAACTATAGTATTATCAAAATCAGGAAGTTGGCATTGACGTAATACTGTTGTGTAGTACTCAGTTCATATTTAAATTTC